TTTAGTCTGTTTTTGTCATTATCTCTAAGGTGTGTCTCTTGTAGGCAGCATATGGATGGGTTGTGTTTTCGTAATGGATGATGTTCTTGATGTCATCCCACAATTCTTCTGATTTTCAGTCACTGGTGTTCAATCCATCAAATCTATTCTTTAAAAGGTCTCTAAATTCAGGAGGGATATTATCAAGGTCATATTTTGGCTCTTGTGGACTTCTTTTAATTGTCTTCAACTTCAACTTGAACATGCATATGAGCAGTTGATGGTCTGTTCCATGATCAGCTCCCGGCTTTGTTTTGGCTGAAGATATTGAACTTCTACATTGCCTGTTGCCACAGATGTAGGCAATCTGATTCCTGTGTATTCCATCTGGTGATGTCCACGTATATAGTCATCACTTATGTTGTTGAAAAAAGGTATTTGCAATGAATAAGCTGTTGGTCTTGCAAAATTCTATCATGCCATCTCCAGAGTTATTTCTATCACCAAGGCCATATTTTCCAACTACCAATAACTCTTCCTTGTTTCCAACTTTTGCATTCCAGTCACCAGTGATAATCAACACATCTTGATTGCATGTTCGGTCAATTTCAGACTGCAGAAGTTGGTAGAAATCTTCAATTTCCTCATCTTTGGCTTTGGTGGTTGGTGTGTAAATTTGAATAATGATAGTATTAACTGGTATTCCTTGTAGGTATGTGGATATTATCCTATCACTGACAGTGTTGTACTTCAGGACATCTTGAAACACTCCTTGTGACAATGAATGCCACACCATTCCTCTTCAATTTATCATTCCAGCATAGTAGATCATATGGTTGTCTGATTCAAAATGGCCCAAATCAGTCCATTTCAGCTCACTAATGCCTAGGATATTGATCTTTAAGCATTCCATTTTATTTTTGACAACTTCCAATTTTCCTAGATACATACTTCATACATTCCATGTTCCAATTATTAATTTCATATCTCATATCATTAATACATGAAGAGAGTGGTTGCAGTGTAGTAAATTACCTGGTATGGCTTTTCTAGCCATAAGTCTTTGTCTACTCTGTGGTGGAATTTGCTGTGAGCTACTGAATTGCTCTTGATTGATTGTTAAAGTTATCCACCTGGGGTATTTCTGTTGGGAGCAGCACAAAGTAATTTTCTGGAAAGTTCTCACTCTCTCAGGTGTATAGAATTCTGATGCTGGGATTGGTTAGTGGTCACTCTGCCAGGCTCAAAAGGAACCCTTCTAGAGGCAGAAGGAGTCTCTCTGACTGCTGGCTGAGAAACACGTACTGCTGAGAGAAACACGCTCCTGAGAGATATGCACTGCTGAGAGACACTGAGAGACATGCACTGCTGAGAGAGAGACACTGAGAAACATGCATTGATGGGAGAAAGACTGAAAGAGACTGTTGGTTGAGAGCCAGCAGGCTGAGAGAGACTGAGCATTGTTCCTGAACTTGAATTGTACCCTGGTGCTTCCCTATAAACCCCATAATCTGTGAGTTCTGTGTGGCCCCTACAGCAAATTATTGAAGCCAGCAGAGTGGTGGTGGGTGCTGCGTGAGGAACAGTTGGTGTCAGGATTGGTGAAAGGGCTGGAGGGAGGCAGCATGTCTGGCCTTGCAAGAATAGGCCTTGGGCTACTGACTGTGATTCTGTCTTCCTCTTGTGCAGTTAGAGGGGGTCAGGAGATGTGGCCTCCCTGCCCCTTTGGCAGTGATGTAGTGAATTACTTGATATGGCCCTTCTCGACATGGTCTTTGTGACTCCCACCAGATGATTGGGTGGAACTATGCCAATGTAATGTGCTTGTGGCCCACCAAGGGGATTGGATAGCTTGCTAATAATGTAAGTAAGGTACATGGCAGACTTGTGGGGGTGGGGCCATGCAAATAAGGTGTATGGAACCCTAATGTGGGGATTAGTTAGTTTTGCCATTCCATTAGGCTTAAAACGAGCCCTCCTCAAGGCAGAACGGGGGGAATCTGACTTCCATCAAGAGAGAGAAGAGCCAGAGGTGGAGAGGAGCATGTCCTTGGACCCAGGACCCCTGGACTGGACCTCCTTGGCAGAGAGACAGCAGAGATGACTGGCAGAGACATGACAGCAACAGAACCAAGAGGCATGAGACAGAGTAGAGGGCTTGCTGGCCCACAGAGTGAGAAAGCTGGGTGCCTTTGGGTAAGGGGCTTGCTGGCTGAGTGGGGTGCACCTATTGGCAGCACTAAGAGAGCTTTGTAACATTGGCCCAAGCGGGAAAGAGGCCAGAGAGTTATGCCTGAGGGCAGAGCAGAAGGAAGACTGTCCTGATTGAAGAATTGTATACTGAGAGTGTTCCTGAGTCTGAATTGTAGCCTGTTACTTCCCTAATAAACCCCATAATTGTGAGACTTGCTGTGAGTTCTGTGTTGGCATTGCAACGAATTATCAAACCCAGCAGAGAAGTAGTGAGTGCCATGGGAGAGAAGATTGGTGTCAGAATTGGTAAAAAGTCTGGAGGGTGATGCATGTCTGGCCTCAGGAATAAGCCTTGGGCTGCTCATGGTGACTGCTTCGCCCTCGTGAGGTTGGAGGAGGTCAGAGGATGCTGCCCCCAGGTGTTTTTTGCAAAGATATACTAGAATCATTAAAGAAAGAGAGAAATGGATAAAGGACAGAACAGATATTCATGGAAATGGGACTACATATGACTCAAAGAAATGAGGATATATTTCCCCCCTCATAATAAGATATAAGGAAATTAAAACTACTGATATTACCGTTTTCGATGATCAGATTGGCAAAATCCAGACATTTGCTGGTTTACTGTATTGGCTAGGCTTTAAAGAAACATTTGTGTTCATCAGCTGCTGGTGGGAGTGCAAAGTGGTGCAACATGTATGGAAAACAACTTAGAAATATCAAAAACTTTCAAATGCACAATTTTGATCCAGAGTTCTCACTTTTGTGAATTTATCCTATAGATGTATGACAAAGACTCTAAGAAACTACTGATTAAAAGATGCACCATTTCCTTTATGAAAACCTAAGGGAAAAATGCTATATTACACCATCAGATGTAGTATATACCTCAATTTTAGAAATGTTAAAATATGAAAAAAGTACATTTAGAATATTGAATTTGTAGACATGCCATGTGATACATACATATATGTACACACACACACACACACAAATTAATTACCACAGCAATTTTTTTGTGTGTGGTGATAGAAGAAGATTGGAAATGTAAATGTTCAGGAATTGGCTCCAGGTTAAATAGATTATGACGGTCACATAACAGAATAAAATACAGCCTTGTTTGCTTACTTTGGACATGTCACCAGGAAAGACCCAAGAAGGACAATATACTTGTTAGAGGGTCAGAAAAAATGAAGAAAACTCTCCAAGAGACAGATGAAAGCTACAACAGTGGGCTCACCTGTACCCACAATTGTGCTGGTGCAGGACGGGACCACATTTTATTGTTATCTATAAAGATGCATGAACCAGATGGCATCCAACAACAAAACAAACAAATGAGGAAATGTACTGGTTTGGAGGGATCTTCAAGACATGTTCATGATGGAAAAACAACATATAAATCAGTAAATATATGACAACTTTTGTGAATAAATAAAAAAGGAATATTTACAAGTTTATATTTGCTTGTGTACCATAGGGAACTGTGGAAGGTCAGATGAGGAACTATGGTTACTGATGGGGGTTACGGTAGGTACTGGGTGAAGAGGGACCGGGATGGAAGACTTTTTGTTGTATATTTTACATATTTTTTGCCTTTTGAATAGATTATTTATCAAATGCATAAAATATAAAATGTGAATAAGGAAAATTCCAGAAATTCTCGAAAACACATTTTATCAGTAATACATACATAATGTACATTGCCATTTGAAATGCTCCAGAAAACACAAAAACAATCTTATACTAAAAATGCCTGTTGCATCTGTTGTAAAGAGAACGCACATACTGAAGAATTCAAGTTCTCTCCATAGTCCTAATAACTGTGCTAAACCCCCAAAATCAAACCCACTGTCATCCAGTCCATTCTGACTCATAGCGACCCCCACTGAGTTTCCACGGCTGTAATCTATGGAAGTAGATTGCCTCATCTTCCTCCTGCCAAGCAGCCAACCTTCTGGTTAGCAGTTCCTTTTAACTCCTTAATCTGATCATTCTATGTGATAATTTATTTTGTAATCATGGACTCTATTACTGGCACTTTTTTTTGTCAAGTCTTAATTTTACAAAACCATCCATTACTCTTTAGTGAAGCAATTCTGAAGACATTTTTCACAGTGCGGGGAAAAGAATCTGGAACAATCACAAACTCAAAGTTACAGGTGTCATTAATGCTTTTGATTTTTTTCCTACTTCTTTTCTGAGGTGTTTTATGATAAGCTTCCTTTTTTTTCCTTTCCCAACTGTGCATTGCCTTACTCTCATACACTTTGATGATGATGATGATAATAATAATAATGTTAAGTTATTGGGTTGGTATAAGGCTGTCCTGAATGCATAGGTTCTCTTGAAGTAGTTTCATTACTTAACTATTCTCTGTTGATAAACTTTATCACAACTAAGTTCTTCTATAAGAGGATTGATAACTTCAGATGCAGTCTGAGCTACAGTATGTGTTAGAATATCAAAATCCATCCTCTGAGGATTCTGCTAGTATTCAGCATCAAACCGCTTTCCTTGTTCTGCAAGATTCCACAAGTCACCAGTGGAGTTCTCCAAGAGTCTGTATTCAGCTAGAAGTAGTCGGGTAAATTTCCAGATAGTGGTGGGAGAACCTCCAGTAACTAAATGTAAGATGCTAAGTGGGGGATGGAGGTGGAGATATGGCAGTGCAGCCAGGTCTGGGCCGTTCCTGGGCCTGAACCTGGGCCTGCTCTCAAGACCTTCTTCAGTGTTCAATTTATTTTACATGTACAATTCAGTGTCATTAATTGCATTCATTATGTTATACAGTCATCACCACTATCCATTTCCAGACTGAGCTTATGTAGTGAGTTTTTATTTTGGCTATTGTAGTTTTCAAGGAACATTGGTGGTGCAGTGACCTAAAGATCATTGATTTAAACCCACTAGCCATTCTACAGAAACAATTGACAGTGTTGGAAACCCTATGGGGGAAGTACTACCCTACCCTATAGGGACAATATGAGTGGGAATCAACTTGAGGTAATTGGTTTGGTTGTATTGTGTTTTCAGTTTTAAAATTTCCATTTTTGTGTGTGTTCTTTTTCTTTGCTGAGATTTTCTATATTTTAATTTGTTTCAAATATATTTGCCTTTACTTGCTGAAGCATTTTTACAATAAGTGTTTTAAAGTCTTTGCCAGATAATTCTAATATTTGTGTCATCTTGGCATTGGTGTCTGCCTTAGGCTCAGTTCTCTAGAGGAGCAAAACCAGTGAAGTGTATATCCTAGTCCTCACTTATCAATGTGGTTATGTCCCAAAGACCAGTTCATCTCACGAAAATTGGCATTATGTGAAAATGGAGGATTACCACACCAGATCACAAATTGGAGAGTGACTACATCATTATATAACTGCCCAACCACTGAGAATCATGGCCCAGTCAAATGGTCACATACTGTAAGCATCACAGCCAATGTTACTCTCTTCTTACACCTTGACATTTGTTACTGCCAGATGTATGTCATTTATGTGCAAAATTAAAGCTAAAGATGAAGAAATTAAAGATTTTTTTTTTACCAACTTCTAGAGTCTGAAATGGATCAAACATACAATCAAGATGCATTGATAATTATTGGTGATTGGAATGCAAAACTGGGAAACCAAAAAGAAAGATCAGTAGTTGGAAACTAAGGCCTTGGTAATAGAAATAATGCCAGAGATTGCATGATAGAATTTTGCAAGATCAACTACCTATTCTTTGCAAATACTTTTTTCAACAACATAAATG